TATATATATATATATATATATATATATATATAAAACATTTCTGTCCCCCTCACTTCTGAAATGATGGCTACGCCCCTGACTGAATGAATCCATGTTTTTGAACGAATTGAGCGATTCTTTAGGAGTAATTTCTGAATGAATCAGCGGTTATGAACAAATCAGTTAAATGAATGATTAAATGACAGTCACTTGCTGCCACCTACTGGAGCTTTTAGTTTCATAATTACAGTATCATTTCATTTAACACAATAATGAATAAATTATCTTTTGGGGGGTAATTTCTCAGCCCAAATTGATGTGTGATTAAGTAATTGGCACATCACGTAAAAATGTAATTGCTTGGCAGCCCTATTTATCAAACAACTGTTTATATAAATTTGTATATATAAGTATATTCAACTTTATTTGGATACATACAGTACACTCACGTAAAACAATATATACTATACACTGTATCTCACCTGCTGGACTGTTTATATTGTAACAAAATGTAACTACATTATCGTCCAGCTCTAATCTGATAAATGCAACTATAATGCAAAACAAATAAATGTACATCTTTGACTCTCACCTGGATTCGCCAGCCTGCTGCTTGTCGGCCCTAAAATCTGATATGGATCTACAGAGAAGACGACAAGCAAACATCAGAGACCATCCTAGTGATGCACTTCAGCTGATTTATGCTTTATTTGATTAAAATCAGGACATGATATGATCCCTCAGTCGCTCTAACAGCGTGTGTGCAGTTCCCATGATCCTCTCACCTAACTGAGCCCTCTGCTCTTCGGTTTTGGTCATGATGGCAGCAGAACTCTGAGAAACTAATGAAAACAGACATTCGGGTTAAGCGTGAAGCATGAGCCGTGTAAGGCTATCACACGCGCATCCGACCGACCTTTAGCTGCAGACGCCGACTGAGTCCATCCAGAGCGCCTGGCGTCAAAACTCACGTCTGCTCGGCTGGGTCCTCTGCTGGCGTCTGGAGGGAAGACGGAGGTGTTTGGGAAGATGAAGCTTGCTCCTCCTGAGACACAGATCAGTGTGAGCGACGTCTGCGTCTGACACTTTCAGCATCAGCAGCACATGCAGGAGAGCACATGCGTGTGTGTGAGCAGTGTGGGCGGGGTCAGGGGCAGGGCTACAGGGCTGCTTACCTGTATTACGAGCATGCATTAACCGCGGGGAGTTTTGCAAGGCTTTGTCAACATCATCTGAAGTCAAGTGAGGAAGTGGAGCTGAGAAACAAAACATTCATGACACGTGAAAAATAAAGAGAATCAAACAACTCAACAAACATCCTGTGACAGAGAGAGAAACAGATGAAGACAGAAAGCTGCATGCTGTGTGTGTGAGTGTGTGTGTGTGTGTGTGAGAGAGTATGAGTGTGTGTGTGTGAGTGTGTGTGTGTGAGTGAGTGTGTGTGTGTGTGTGTGTGTGTGTG